CACAAAACTGTTGTGCTGTGTGGGTGAGCTCATGCCCCCTAGTATCAGAAAAATAGACAGTGTACATTTGGTGGGTTTCGTTTGTACGGTTAGCGTATTCACTCCATCCACAAGATCATAGGGTTGGTTTTTATGGATACAGTTTTTGCATGTTTATATTGTTTAATATAGAACAATTAAAAACAAAATTTCTAGACCACCTTCTTATCTGAATGTTCATCTCCCTAAAAATGTTAGCTTTAAAATCTAAAAGTGGCTGGCTCCACTTTTCACTAGTGCTTTTCTCTGGTTACGTTCACTGTTAGTTTTTGTTTAGCTAGGCATTTAGACTACACCCACTACTGTGGCTTACAGAGTCAGAGAGATTTCTTCCCAAATTGGGTGGGCTCTTCCCTGCTATATAATTCTAATATTGATATTAAAACAGTCACTTACCTAAGAAACTGCCACTATAACACTGAGTTCAAGCATTTAAATGCCATGCCCAGCAGACAGGTAAGTGACTACAATTTTACTTCCTTGCTGAGAGACTGATAAAGGGGTCACATAATCTGATAACCTGTCCTTAGCTGATAATTCTGTTTTGGAGCTGAGCAAGGGAGGTGAGGTGTGGACCAGCCTTATTGACTAAAACATTTTCTTCTTCACATGTAGCAATTGTAGGGATGATAGGAGATTTCCCTTCCACCTGTTTCATTGCATGCTTTAAGGACTGGTCAGGAACTGCAGTTTAGACTTATGAGGTGACCACAGCTTTAAGGCTGTATTTCCCTGCTGCTTACCCTTACCAGAGAAGGAAAAGGGGGAGGCAATGAACGTCATCCTTGATCAGGAAGATGTAATATATGAGAGGCCACATGTTGATGTACATGAGGTTCTTGCCTCCAAGAAGCTCCAAACAGCAGAATGGGATTTTAGATAGTTCTATGTGTAACCCACAGAGGTGACCACAGCTTTAAGGCTGTATTTCCCTGCTGCTTACCCTTACCAGAGAAGGAAAAGGGGGAGGCAATGAACGTCATCCTTGATCAGGAAGATGTAATATATGAGAGGCCACATGTTGATGTACATGAGGTTCTTGCCTCCAAGAAGCTCCAAACAGCAGAATGGGATTTTAGATAGTTCTATGTGTAACCCACACACCTAGTGTGGTTACCATGCAGTGGCACCTAGACCACAGCAACAGTTAAGACCAAGAGACCTCTACAGCATGGGCTGGGAGCCAGCTGGCTTTTAGCTCAGAGAGTAGAGGCTCCTGTACTCAGCTCCAGAGATCCCAGGTTCAAATCTGCCTGGTGTTGGTTATGTATGCACTGTGTAGAAATTTTCCATGAATAGCTGGGATTTGTGTGCCATAGTCAGCATATTTGAGTCTGAACAGAATCCTACTATGTCCCATTACGTACATAAACATAACAAAAGTATCTGGTAAATTCTGATGTCTGTGTCTGAAATATCAGTTTTAAAGTTGAAATGTAACTGTATCAAGCTGTAACTTTATACATACTAATATTTAATTTTAAAACCGCTCAGATGTATATCGCAGAAATATCTAATAAATTGTGATATATATACAATGGGGACATATAGGTGTGAGTGTATCTGCCTATGACACACACATCTTACTATATATTTTAGAAATGTGCATCTGTTTGTCCACCCATCTGTGAGTCTGTCCATTCAAGAACTCCTAAATGGTAAGAACTAGGACCTCCAAATTTGGTATGCAGCTGCTGCTTCATCATAACTTAAAGCAAGGTCAAGGTTTGGTTATGCTAGGATAATGGGATATATGTGGAATCCAGTTTTCTCATAAAATGGAAAGGGAGGGGTCTGGTAGGAGGGACAATTATACTGCAGAATGACCACAGGGGATCAGGACAGCTATACCCCATTGGACCAACAAGGGAAAGGGACAGCTATCTACTATATATTTTAGAGAGTTTGTCTGTTTACGAATTTGTCTGTCTCCCCCGCCTGCCCCCCCAGCCTGGCAACATGCACCTCTCCCCCAGCTGTGTCCTCTGTCGTTGCAGTGGCTATGGACAAATGTTTCTCATGGCCCCAAACTGCTGCAGTGATAGAGGGCTAGGGTTGTCCCCCCCCCTTCCCCAGGGCAGCCTGCATACTGAATCCTTCATTCCCAATCCCACACGAGGATAACGATGTAAATAAAGAAAAACAAAACTTATTTGCGTTAAGGACATGAGCAGCATGTAAGTATAATATGTAAAAGTTAAAGATTAGTATATTCACAATTGTTGATTAGTGAAAGCTGCAACAGAATTTGATTAATATTTCAATAAGAACTTTTTTGTGAAAAATTTTATGATATTTTTTTTTAACTGCTGACATTATAAAAATTGTCAGAAGAAGGGATACAATTTCATTGATTGTTTTGTCAAATTTTTGTTGTTGGAAAAATGTTAAATCTTGAAATTATTTTGATGAATTCCAGCACCGATGGCATGGTCACATGTCTTTCTAGGACCAACCATAGTTTAGGCTTGCAGGAAAAACAAGCTTATTCACAAATCCTTGTCTTGAGCATTAGGCCATTAAGTTCTGTAAGTACCATTAATGACTTTTAGTAGCAGCCTAGATGAATAAATGGGTTTACACTTTATATTTCTAACTTCACATGCACAAATGATATATGCACACAAAAGTATATACATATTCAGGGGTTACAATCTCTTGAGTGATAGGTTACTTGCCCCATTTTGCATAAAGCATATTTGAGTTATGCATATTCATATTTAAAATACATTTCCATAAAAATATGAGGGTACAGTGTCATATAGTGGTTATGGAGTATGCTTGCCCTTGCCCAGAAACCACATGTAACATTTGGGATCAGTGCAGGCCTCTGAAACCTTCCCCGAGCCCTGCTCTTTGGAGTTCGGTGCACTGCCAGAGCACTCCTGGCCAGCAGCTGCTTTATGGATTCCCATGTAAAAATGGATCTTTGGAGATGTGGGGGGAAGGAAAAATTGATACAGCTCTGAGCTTTATTATTCTTTCTCTCGGGCTGATGAAAGGATGATGTGAGTGTTCCAATGAACGAGCAGTAGGTACCTTCAGAGCACAGACCAAAGTGGTGTGACTGAGCCTAGAATAAACAGCCAGACAGGGTTTGCTGACAGCTGTTAAATGTATTCCATTTAGTCTTATTTCTAATCCTTTGAGTACTCCAAAAAGCCTTTCCAGAATAGTCAAGATGTGAATGGCAAATAATTTTCTAAGGAAAAGTTTACCATGAAAGCCCTGTCATTACACTATATATACGTAGTATGGCTTACTTAGATTATTTGAAATGATTATGTAAACCATTCTTACCTCATTATGCATTTTATACAGGGAAGGGGCACAATGAGTACCCATGAAAAACTCACTGCAATTTGCTGACCCTAATCATATTTTGTAAGGAAAAGTATAGATGTTTCTCTCTGACCATATCTGGATTTCACAGTAAAAAGAGATTTATACTCAACCATCTACATAGACTCATGCATTTATGCTTTTTCCCCACTCCAAAAAGTAGAATCTTGGCCATCTATAACACATCTAGATCCCAGCATTAACCTGAAGTTGATGAGAGCTATATCTCTGCATCCTGTGTAGAATCTAATGTGTCTTGAACATGACAGAATAATTCTGACACATTTGTAACACCAACAACTCAAAAGTGAGATAGAGGTCAGATAGAAGTATAGATAGGGTAAAGTATAATGCTTCATATTCCTCTGATATATGTTATACTTAGTATCATACTATCTTCCATTTCCTCTAGGAGAGGAAAGCATTCTGCCACTGTTGACCCAGGACTCCAACTCTAAAGCCCGGAGAGGAATTTTAAGAAGAGCTGTCTTTTCTGAAGACCAGAGAAGAGCTTTGGAGAAGATGTTTCAGAAACAAAAATATATCAGCAAAACAGACAGAAAGAAACTCGCAAATAACCTGGGTCTGAAAGAGTCACAGGTATGGCGGGATGTGCGGACACTGTACAGCACTTAGCAAAATGGGGTTCCGGTACATGATTTAGGGCTCCTAGGTGCTACTATCAGACAAGTAATTAATAATCATAACAATATTTCATAGTTCTGTCTTTGAAACAAAAACTTTCCAAATATCTTTGCTGAAGGGGGGTATTAACAGCCCAGGGCCAGTCCTATAGTCTTCACTTCAACAAAGTCTCATTAAAGTCAATGACCATTTTAAAGAATGTATAAAAGAGAATCCAATCCTATAGTGATCTGCATTCAAAAGTTGATATCTCCATTTCCATGCAAAGATAGAGAAAAATCACTTCTGAACGCTAACAGCCTCTATCCCCATTCTCCTAACTCATGGACACTTTTTGGCTCTGCATTAAGGTTCACTCTAAGCTGCACAGCAGCACAACTGCTTAATGAGCAAAGGTGCCATTTCCAGCACATAATTGGGGCAGCAGCCATGCACTCCGGGAGGGTGGCTAGCTTTTCATCCTGTTCTCCGGATGCTCAGGGAGTGAGGGGAAAGTGCTTGCCAGGTGTGAGCGGTATGCATGGAATGCAAGCACCTTTGCTCATTTCCCCTCACTCTCTTAGCTTCTAGGGAATGGAATGAAAAGCTAGTCGTGTCCCTAATTACACAGCTGCTGCCCCCTCATATGCTTGAAATGGTGCCCTTGTGTGCTGCCCAAAGGCGCAGGGCTGCCATGCATGGAGCTGCCTGGCTGAGAGAGAGCCCCTGTCAGCTGGGAGAAACTCGCTGCTCTGTCCCCAGCAGGGAGCTGCTGCTGTAGCTAAGGGAGATGTGCCCCTCTCCCAGCCAGGCAGCTGCATGTGTGGCAACTTTGAGCCCTTCGGCAGGCTCATTAAGCAGCTGCATGGCCATGCTGCCACGCAGCTTAGAGGGAACCTCACTCTGCATGCACAAAACTCTGCAGGGATTGGTGGGAGGGCACTGTCTTCTGCTTTGCTTTTAGATGTTGTTGGGGAAATCTCACTCCCCTGGGGTAAAGAGTCCCCAGAAAGGTCCGAGGCTGGAGGTCAAAGCAGTGAGGCAGGAGAGAAATCTAGAAGGAAAACTTTATTATGCATGCAGGCAGGCTGACAGCTACTAGAGTGAGAGCAGCAGCAGCCCTAAGAGACAGTTTCAGGGATCCTTTATACAGTATGTTCAGACAGTTTAGTTGTTGATTTGTTTTCTTTAACATATCAAAGTCTCAGCAGAAGTATTCTGAGATGTTTCTGTTCACACCAGAAGTGCTAGAAGTAAGTTTTACAGTACAAAGGCACATGATAACCTCAGTGAGGAGTCTACAAGGCAAATTGTGACAGACTAGGAGTCTCCATGAAGTTGAGATAGGAGGCATTGTAAGGGTCTTGATTAGAGAGAGAGAGACCTGGAAAACTTTTAACTCTTACAGCAGTTTTCTTTTAGAGAGTTTTGATTTCCTCCAGTTTCCCCTCTTTAACACAATTGGAGTTGTTTGATTTTTCTCCCACAATGTCAGCATAGAAATCCACACTCAGAGCTCTTTTACCTTTCTCTGTTTTTTCACCTGTTACTGAGTAGCCACCGGGAAAGTATGCTGATAGCAATGCAACTTTACTGGACTCATGCCATCAAGGGAGATGGGACAGTGGAAGCAGCAACCTTCCCTATAGAGCTGATCCTGGCTCTAGGCAGAGGGAGACATATGGGGTTGAGAGAAGCATTAAGAATGGAAATTCCATGAGGTGACCTTACTGGAAGTTCCCACCTCTCTTATTTGGCCACTTTCAATGGGTTTTTCCATATGAGAGTATGATCTGGCTCAGTATAGGACTTCAGGATTTGTCCCACTGTTTAATATCTGTATAGTTGTATATACCATACTCATGTAGTAAGATTATGATGCCTGTCAGGTTTGGGATCCCAGGGCTTTGATCTCTGTACAAATATAGTTTAAGTGATAGCATCTGCCCTGGAGGGCTTTCAGTCTAAAAGAGACAAACAAAAGATGGGGACAGGAAGAGAACACCTGTGATTGGCACACTTTCATTCATTACATGGAAGTAATGGGCAGGGAGAGGGGAAGCTGCAGGAATGGGAGAATGACAGAAAGGGAATAAGAAGAGTAACATTCCCAACACATTTCCTATCTTCCCATAGTCACCTAATTGGTGGGCTGCAAAGGATGGAAGTGCTGGTGGAGCGCTGTACATTATTGTAATTTTTAACTTGAACACTTCAACCATAAACAATGGAGAATGCACAGACTGAGACCCTTTCCAATCTACTAGCTAAAGCAGAATAGTAATTTCCAATGGACAAGCTTTCTTTTCTTGCTGACAATGTACAATCACACTGCAGTGAGCTTTCTAAAATCTTTGCAGTGCATATTCTCATTCTGTATATTGCAAGCATTTCCTTCCTACTTTCTTTTGACTTTTCCTATATAAAAGACAGGAGAGACTAGTGTCAAACTACAAATCGACTGTAGTCTTTGGAGATGAGATTTTACCGCATAAGGACAGGGAAGAGGATTTCATTCCAAAAACTGCATGAGAGCCAGGTGAATCCTAGGAGATCCCTGGAGCCTTCAATCATCCAGACAAAGTCACCACTCTGCCTTTGGGCTAGTAGACCCCTGTCAATCGCTTCATTACTGCAGCTAGCCATGCTCAGCTTCTTTTGTGGGTGTAAGAGCCATAGCTCCTCTAGCTATGCTGATGTCTTGTAAATGAAAGGATTTACATTGTTGTGGGAAGTAAGAGCCTTTATTTACACTAGGAATTCTTGTGGGCTTAAGGAGATAACGCTGCAGTAAGCTATCTCATCTCCTTGGCTACCACTTGACAAGTCTGCTGAGCTGAATCCTCACCTTGTCTCTGCTGGTAAGGGGAGGAGAATGTTTGGACTGATTATTATTATTATTATTATTATTATTATTATTTTATTATTAATAATAATTAATAATAGGCTGGATTCTCAGCTGGTGTTAGTTGGCATAGCTTTGCTGATTTCCATGGAACTATTCTGAACTTGACTTAAGTCAAGCCCAGAGAGGGGAGTTTCAAATTGAAGGGATTTAAAGAAAAAAGGTATTCAGGTAAAAATTATTTTAAGAAAACAACAATAATCTCCTATTAACTTGGCAACAGGTGAAAATTTGGTTTCAGAACCGAAGGATGAAATGGCGTAACTCCAAAGAAAAAGAAGTGCTTTCAAACAGGTGCCTCCAAGAAGAGGGTCTTCAAGAGAACTACCTCTCAAGAGCCACTCTGAATTTTAGCTCCCCATGCCCTTCTGTGTGGGAAATGTCTCAACAGCAGGCAAGTCCAAGATGGAGGGAGAGTTCTCCAGAACCTTCAGAAAGACTGAATAATAGAAATAGTGTGCAGCCACCTCAAAGAGCAGATTCATTTCAGGGCACATTGTATTTGTATCCTGAACATGACGATGGAGACAAGACAGTTGCATCATCAGTATAAAGGAATGATGGAGTTCTGCAAATTGATCCAATAACAGACTTTAAATGGTTGGTCTTTTAAAACTAACAGCGTTCAACATTGAAAAGCTAACTAGTTTATACCTCATCAGTTACTAAAATCTAACACCATTACAATGACAAACAATTAATGCTGCAAGAAATATTCTTTAATATTCAATTTATTCTCATGTTTTTTCTGGTCTTATATGGAACATAAAAGTAAATTAGGAAGGAATGGTAAGTAAAAGGAAACGAAGACTATGAAACTGACATTTTGCTTCGATTTTCATACTGTGCTGTATACACATATTCATTAAAGCACATTGATACCATACTTTTTTTCTTATTGTAGTCAGACTCATTAAGTTTTTCCCCCCCCCCCCCCCAACTCTAGAGAAAACTTGTAAGTTTTTTTTTTTTTGTAGTTGGTTATAGTGTATGATGCTCACAATGGGGTCATATTGAAAATATCAAGGATCTGTAGTGGTATTTCTCCAGCTTTCCTCAATTTATGTCAGTATCCGATTGGCTATTTGATGTCACAAATACCCAGATGAGTTATCCTAATGAAAAAATTGAACACAAAAAAAACCCTGTGTTTTATATCACTTTAATTTGGACACAAACTCGGAAATGCTAGGAAATGCAACTTACTGAGTCAATTATTTTCTCTTGAAGATGAAAAACACAACGTCCTTTGCTTTAGTAGTCTCTGTCACAGTGTCCAAGTCTCTCATATCATGTTTTGCTTTAAAAATTGGTGATAGCACAAGGGAAAAGTAGAGTCCACATGGAATCGGCAGCAATACTATAATGGTGTATCTACACAGCAGGGCTTAACTCGAAATAAGCTACTTAAATTGAGCTACATCAATTGCGTATCTTATTTTGAAATAGCTTATTTCGAAATTGAGAACATCTGCACAGCACTTATTTCGAAATAGAGCACTCTTCCTCCAACTTCCCTTACTCCTCATACAATGAGGATTACAAAAGTCGAAGTAAGAAGTCCTTCAGCTTGACAGTATTTTGACATTATAACTGCTTGCTCTGTAGACTGTTATTTTAAAATTAACGTTGCTGTGCAGATGTACCCTAATTGTGCAAACTGCCACTCTTGCTCTGTTTAAAAAAAAAAAAAAAAGTACTTGACCATTAATATTCTGTATCTAAGCTGGTTCTAGTGGGCATGCGTCTATTTCTATTTGATGTATTTGATGTGCATAAGTAACCTGAAATAGTAGTAATAGTAGTATTAAAATTGCTTTACATGAAATTATTTGCTTGCTTCATCCACTCTAAGAAAATCACTCTATAGGATTTAAGAATCAGTTATTGTTCAGTTGAGAAGCTTTCTAGCTCCAAAAGAGAAGAATATTTTTCTTAATGTATATTTTTATGAATGTGTTTGTTGAGCAGAATTGTTAGAAATATTTCTCTGTCAGTTATAATACCTGTAATTCTCTGTTTTATGAAATTTATGACCTAAAAAAGAAAATCTGTTTGACTCCCTTCATAGATTTTTAAGGCCAGAGCGGATCATTATTTATGATCATATATTCTGACCTCTTGTACAACATACTATAGAATTTCACCTGTTACTTCCTGCCTGGATCCCTGTAACTAGGGGATGGACCAGAGCATGTCTTTTAGAAATAAATTAAATTTTGATTAAAAGGTTTTTTTCTAAGTTATCATTCATTACATAACAAATAATATACTATAATGCTAATCAATGAAATATTTTCTGCAATTTTAGATTCTTGTATATATCTAACTTTATATTGTATAAACAGACATCATATAATCATTTGTATTGCATAAACAGGCAGAGTTATGTTCTGAGCCTTCTGCATTTCCTGACTTTTTTTTGAGTGCTAAAACGTGCAGTCTTAATGTTGCACTCTCTAATGTAGTTTTTAACTAGGTTTTTATGAAAGCAAAGAAAAACAAGTCATTTGTTCTCTAAATAACAAGCACTAGTTGGCAAATACCACCAAGTATCTGTCATTGAAACTGGCTCCACACAATCTAACGTATCCATCTCTCAAATGGGTAATTAAGTCATTAGAGACGAAAATCTCTCCTATTCTGAGGAGTCCAGGGTCTCAGGGCCCTGGGCACCATGTGAATCCCTCATAAACCCCATCTCAGGAATTGTCAACTTTCCGAAGTCGCTTGCCAAAATTTAATTGTCCTGCTCTGGGCTGCACCGCTCTCCCGTGGGAGGGAAGGCTCTTTCCACTATATGCCCCGCTTGGTCTCCTGCCCTGGACTCTGCTTTGGTTTCACCTGTGGGGAGGGGAGAAGCAGCCTGCACATGCTTTCCTGTAAGCCAGATCCGGTGTGGAGCCTCAGGGCTTCCCCGGCCAGCCTGAGCTGCCAGACTTTGGCTTTCAGTGCACACTTGTGCTTCCGGGGACTGTGACAGAGCCAGGAACGCATCATGAAGTAACGCATCATGAAGTCACTGCCCCAGATGGAGAAGGAGATGGGGCCAAACTGCCGGGAGGGGTAGCTCAGTTGACATACATCATTTCCACTTCTGCAAGCAGAGTTGACACACATGTAATGCCATGTTATTCACCCTGCAGTGATGGCATGTGACTGTGCCTAGACTCTTCTCCCCCTCCCACCCTCACCTCAGTCTCACATGCAGTGAATGGGCTCCCCTTCACTTCCCCCTCCCCAGGAAGCCAGTGCTGGCTACAGACTTGCGGGGGCGCAATGCTGGATCGCCAGCATGGACTTCTTGTTGTGGGTTGGTGGGAGGGAGGGGGAGCCCATTCATTGTACCACTGAAAATCATCTTGCGTGCCACACATGGCCAATCCCTGCCCTATCTGAATGGATGGCTCATCCACAGTGGTGAATTTCTCTCTCAAATTGTGCCATTGAGGTCACAGGAACTACTCACATGTGTAAGGACTGTATTGGATCCATGTAGAGCTCTGGTATCGAACTAGATTTGGATATAGCTATAGCAAGCTAGCCACACTCAACTGGCCAAATAGTCACATTGTTCAAGCCAACTAGCCACATTCAACCAGACAAATAGCCACGTGTAGTTAGTGTGTTGGACAGTGACTAGTGGCTAGCGTGGTGGACACCACAGATATAGAGTTAACAGGTACAGTTGGCTAAAGGTCAACTCAGCTAGCCAGAAACACAGAGACACTAAGAATTTATTTCTATATACTTACATTCAAGCTGCCACCCCTACCAGGTTTACTCCATAACTTGCAGATCTTTAGTGCCTCCTACTGGGGATATAGCTGCAGACTCTGATTGGCTGCCTCCCCCCAACCCTGCCTCTTGGGAAGAGTAATTAATCTCAAGGCTAAGGCTACCTGGGAAGAGTAACTAAACTCCATTCATCTGAGGAAGTAGGTTGTGCCCTCTCAAGCTCATGACACCATCTACATTTTTTGTTAGTTTCTAAGGTGCTGCAAGACTATTTGTTGTTTAAGTTTTTCCAGTTACAGACTAACATGCCTACCCCCTCTGAAACTTTTAATCTCAAGGCTGTGCATTGAATGATTGGCCATATGGAGTGAACAGAGTTTCCACTCATTTCTTCTTTTAAAGAACTAGAAGTACTGAGCCCAGAAGCTGCATGAAACTCCTAGCATGTACAGTACTGAGAGACAAAAACTCCAAGCTGCTCATGGGCTTGGTAAAAAGGGAGGAAGAGACTCTGATGAGGTGACACTTTAAGATTGGATACAAATGTTTGTAGACACTGTAACTCTTGGGCTCCCAGCTGGCTGCTGGAATTCACAGCCAGTTAGTTGCCCAGATCCTCAGAAGCCAACAAGCTGAGTAGGGAGCCATATAAGCCAGCTGACAGTGAAATGCAGAGGAAAGGGGTATGGTGTATGGCCAAAACCTCAAAGGAATTCAGGGACCTAATTCCCATTTCTTTTAGCTTCAGGAACCTGATTCGTGGGCCTGAGGGAGGCACACTCCACCATGAAGCCTCTCTATTGCCACACAAGTACTTAAACTATGAAATTATTCTGACATTTGTCCCTTTCTCTCTTATGCAGGGCCTGAGCCTGGACGAGTATGTCTACACTGAAAAATGAAAACAATTTGTGGCAGTAAATCTCAAAGCCTGCATCAACTGATTTGGGCTTGTGTGTATTTGGGCTAAAACAAGTGTAGACATTCCTTCCCACTTAGGCTGGAACCTGGGTTCTGAGACCCATCTTCCTTGCTGGGTTTCAGAGCCTAGGCTCCAGCCCAAGTGGGAATATTTATGCTGCTATTTTTAGCCCTGAAGCATTGAGACTTATTGCTGCAGAGGTTTTTTGCAATGTAGACATCCCCTTGGTGTACTCAAATCCACAAGTAAAGGGTCAAGCCCCACTGATAAGATATACAGGGACATCCCTTGTTTGAGAATCCTGATAATTCGGAACTGCTAGGGCTTTGCCTTGTACTATGGTTCTGAGTAGTTTAACTGTGGGGTTGGTGCCAAAGTTTAGGTGGCTTTGTGCATGCCCATCAGAGGAAAAATAGGCTCTACACGGTTAGACAGCAGCAGTAGCAACCACACAAAGAGGCAGTTAAGCACATACCTTTTGAGGATCTGGCCATACGATGCTCTACACGTGAAACAAGACTTCCAAAGAGTAAGGGGAAAAGTTTCAACATCTTGATTTTAAATGTTTTCTACAATGTCAATCTAACTTTCTTCAGTTCCCCAGGAACAAACACCATAAGAATTTTGGACCATAACTAAAATAGGTCTGAGTTCACAGCACCAAATAAAGTTAAAGCCAATCCTTTTAGTTTTATGCTATTTAAAGGGGGACATTCCCTTTAGCTTGCATTGTGACATTTCAGCATATAGGAAGTATTACTCATCATGAATGTAGTAAATATCACGATATTTACTTTGCCATTCTCTAAAATGTCATACTTTAGTGATGGATCAAATAGTATGTGTGCATTTCCTTTAAATAATTTATGAACATCAGTTATGACAAGGAACCTACCAACTTCACAGACAAATTTTGGTCAATTTCCACCAAGATTTAAAAATTATAAATTCCATGCTTCAGATATTTAAATCTGAAATTTCACAGTGTTGTAATGGGGGGAAGAGGGGGAAGGTTGTTCCTAATCCCAACCCAGCTCTGAAGGCAGGAGTGCAGCTGTAAGGGTGGCATGGTATAGTATTGGCACCTTTAAGTATGTGCTACTGCTGGCGGGGCATTCCTTTCAGGGTTTGCCTCATGGCCAGCATTACTGCTCTCCAGCAACCCAACTCTCAAGGCAGTGCAGAAGTACTGCAACACTTCCTACAATAACCTTGCTGCACCCTCCCACCTGTACCCCCCGATCCTGCACAACCCTTTTTTGTTCAGGACCTCTAGTTTGAGAAACACTGGTCTTTATGAAATCTGTATGGCATAGAGTAAAAGTACCCCGACACCAGATTTCATAGTCCATGACACATTTTTCATAGCTGTGAATTTGGTAGGGTCCTAGTTACGACAAAACAAAGGAAAGCAGAAATGAGTGATACGCATTTCCTCCTGCATCTCTATCTACATGCACCCAAATCACTCTCAGCCCTACCAGTTCATCTTGTTCCCATCTTAGTTCAGAAACTCCCCAGCCTCTCGCCACTCCTGCTCATAGACATACAGCACATACTTGAGCTTCCATGCTGAGAATCCCTTATACATCCTACCAAGCCTCTTTGTAACTCTAAACCACTTCCTCAGCTCTCTAACCTCTCCTACCCAGACTCAGAATACCACGGACACAACCCCCAAGATCACAAAACCCACCTCCAGCTCAGAAGCCTTGCTCTCTCTAGCTGGCACCCACTACCATCATCCAGTTCAGAAACCTTTGACTCTCCAAGAGTCACCACCTTGCCCTCCCCTATTTCATGCTGGCCCTGGACATGCAGGAGCAGAAGCAGAAATAAACTGTGGCTGCTGGGCATGTGAGCAGGGAACTCTATAGGCTGTTTCATGGGCTCGGGGTCCTCCTTGTCTTCTTTTTTGTACCTCAGCAGTGGTAACCCTACCTCTGCTCCTTTGCAGGCCATTCACTACAGGGACAGGAGGGGCTCTATGCTGGAGACATGTGTATGCAAAGAGCCTTGTATTTGGCCTCTGTGGAAGTGAAAGAAATCAGCCCCACAGAAGCCTGAACTCCGTTCTGTGCTTCCTCCTTCTGCTGCCTGCAGTATTTGTGCTGCAGAGCCCAGAGGCTCCCACAGCAGGGAGGGCGTGCTGCAGCCTCCAGTGGCTGGAATGCCTTCAACCCTTGCGGGAGTCCCTTAGCGGCAGCAAGTGCTAGTGCACCCTGAGTACATCAGTCACTGATACCTGCTACCCTCCTCTGTGTCCCATAAAACATTGTGGGCTTGTTTCTGATCTCATTTACCTCCATGAAAGTAACTCTGCCACAGCCAATGGAAACACAGGAGTATAGAACCAGCATAGGAGAGATCAGAATGAATGACATCCACTGCATTAGCTAGTTTCACTTTGAAAATCGACCAGTGTTTAAATGGAAAGTGAAGGAGGGGAAAGTATTTTGGCCTGGCTCTTAGGCATTTCTGGCCCTGCAGCAATGGAAGCATGTGTAGACGGAGCCAACGATTGCCTAGAGCTCAAACAAAAAGATTAAGAAACAGAAAATGAAACCCACCTGGCAGTTGTAAACTGAGGAATGGGGACAGCATTCAAAATGTTTATTTTAATACAGGCACCTTGAATATTACATCAAAGGATATGAAAAGAAAGCATCGGATTTGTTCCCCACTATGCCCCACATACATATTGGCTATTTTTATTAGCCCATATTGGCTCGAGAAATTCCTTTGTCCTTAAGCCTTTTACCTGCCTGTTGGCTTTAGGCTGCACCACTTAAAAGAATCCCGTTCTTGAAGCTTTCTGATAGGCGAGACAATGTATTTCCTCCTTTCTCATAAGATTCAATGAGATCAAAGAAGTAGAAATACTTTTTGTGGCTGACACATTCATATTATATGCGTCATAAGGACGCTGTTCTTTCACAGTGTGCCCTTGCTGGTTCTATTTTTGATGATTTAACCTTTAGAGTATTTTTTGTGTTTGGATTCCTGATTTGTGATACCTGTATCAAAGTACAAGCTTCTGACTGCCACGAACTTTGCAGAGAGGATGTTGGTAAGTGGGCGGATTACATCAGAGAAAATCTTTTTGCCTTAATGTGTATTCCTATAGTTCTCTCTCCTTTTTGGCATCACAGAGACTAGAACCATCCCTGCCTGGCATTGTTATATGCAGCAAATTCATATGCGTGCTTGTGGGCTTGATTCTGATCTCATTTACCTCCATGAAAGAGTAACTCCACCACGGCCAATGGAAACACAGGAGTATAAAACTAGCATAGGAGAGATCAGAATGAATCATGTAAATAACAATATTGACATGAATGGCAATACTAGACTGCAGCTTAGAGTGATTTTTGCCCATAGTACAGAGAAAATTTGCTGTATTGGTTTATAGCTATGGCTATGACCAGAGTTTTGATGACCAACTTACATATTTGCTTGATGTCAACTTCAGGTAGAAAAAGGTGTTTGTGAATTGCTTTCTAGGTCTGTTACTCAGGTAAAAGAAATCACTAGATGTTGGGTGGCAGCTGAATAGGGAGTTTGTGAATGGGAGTGGCTCCTAAATATTTGACTTAGTTTCCTTTTTCCCTGTGTGAATCTAGCACTCTCAGGATAACATTATGCTGGAAAAACTTAAAAAAACAACAAATAGTCTTGCAGCACCTTAGAGACTAAAAAACATGTAGATGGTATCATGAACTTTCGTGGGCACAACCCAAATGTGACCTTTTCCACTCAGCTGTCTGAAGACATGAGGAAGCCACTATGGCTGAGTTGCAGAGGTGCTGAGTTCTCACAGATACCCTCTAAAAAAGTCAGGCCAATTCTGCATTGGTTGAGCTTATGGCTGCTCAGAAGTAACTTGAGAAGTTGCTGCTCGATGTTCAATTCTAAGTTGTATCTTTGACTTTCTATGGCATCCCATGGTAAGTGTGCATGTGCTTGCAAACTGTCCTAATTCCTGCAAAAATGTACACAAGTAGTCTCAGTGGCATGCCTCACAGTAGTAAAGTTAAGCACATGCATAAGTACTTGCAGAATAAAAGCTCAGGCAATTATGAATGTCAATACTGAGTCCAAATCAGTGATAAATGCCTCTTATTCATATGCATCATCTGGACTGAAAAGGCAGAGATCTTTCATTCCAGACTAGTAATTATGTACCATCCATTCATTACAGTTAGCAGTAAAATAGCTCCATCTTTATCACTCAGATGAATGAATGGTTTTTCTATACCAAGGAATTTACAGCACCCATATCTTGGTATTGACTCTGGCTATGTGTGCAGGAAACACACCCCTATCCACCATCCAAACTTGGCACTGAGACTGAACCATTAATTAGAACCTTACTCATGTGCCATAGTGTTTTTTTCTCATAAAAGCTCCTAGTGGGACTATTAATGGAATAATGTGCTTCTCAACATCAGGGTATCAGACACTTGCTCTTAGAGGCTCTTGAAACTACATCAATATTTGTAAAAGCTTGCAGCAATTTAGGAAAGGAAGAGAGACGTATGATGGGGAAAAAGGGTAGTCAGGTATCCTTATGAAACAGTCAGTAATACCATATGTGATGGGGTGCCCTTGCCCCACCCCCTTCATAGCCAGCCACAGCACTCGGGGGTGAGCACCATGGTGGGCCGAAACCCTGCGGCACATGCTTGAGCGGCTGGCGGGATGCTTAAAAGCAGCACCAATGCGCTTGGTGGGGGAGGCTGGCGGGAACCTGGAAGCAACGGGCGTCTGGCTGCGGAGCAAGGGAGTAGCATCCCAGGAGGGGACGGGGGAAGGTGAGAGGAGGAGAAAGGGAGAGACAGAGGAGTGCCCAGCATCTGGGGGAGTGGGGCTGGGTGGAAGGGAGCCAGACCTACCGGGAGGCCTAGAGACAGAACAAGGCCAGAAGGGCATGTGGGGAGAAGCAGAGGTGAGGGCGACAGGGGAGAGACATCCCACACAGCGACAGCCCTGAGGGAGCACTAAGCTTCTCAGGGCCAACGGAGAACACCAGCTCGGGGCAGGCAGGCAAGCTGCAGGACCGCCACCAATCCCCCCTGTAGCAGAAGGCAAGTGCTCAGAGCCAGGGACCTGGGGGCCACTGAAGCCAGTCATGACATGGGAGCCTCACAGACAAGGATCCTATCTTGTCTCAGCGACAATGGATGGGAGGAGGAGGTGCGGCATAGAAGCCACGGTCGAGGGTAGAGCAGATGGCAGAGCCTATAGTGGGGTAGGAAACGGCCCAGGGCAGAGGGGAGCTGGCAGTTGCCGGGGATAGCACCAGAACTGGTTCCATCGAACACCCTGAAAGACTAGGGTCCCCCCCCCCGGGCTCTTCTATCCCACCTCCGCCAACAGAGACGCATGCAGAGCTAGGCTAAAGGCTGGGACTAGCAACGACAGACTATTTGACACAAGCCTCTGGCTGCTCCGCCGTGGTAGGCTGGGGAACGAAGCAGGAGTCGGCCCCGTATGTGACAGCTGCCACGGGGAGGCCCGTGGGCAGGAAAGCAGGCAACCCAGGAAAGTCATTAAAGCCCTATAGACTGCTACCTCCCCGGACAATGGCAGTAAGCCTCATCACCAAGGACTGGGCCTCGTGACCACCAAAAACAGGGCTAGAATAACTTGGGGTGGCGTGCCCCCATCCATCATGGGAAGGTTCACCAACCGACACGCGTTCATAGGCTACTAGGGCCATTGACACCATACATTGCTTACTCTTAAGCATAAGTACTTTTTCCACATGGTGAATCTACTTTTATTGTAAAAATATACTTTATTTAAAATCTAGCTGAGTCTTGGTACAAGACATACATAATTTATTGATGTTTAGCTTCAGTGACAACATGGACACCTGTAACCGTGTAAACTATTTAAACTGCAGTTTGACATATAGTAAATACAGAAACTGATTTATGCACTGCCACTGAAACCCACTCTACCTGGTGTGTGAAATACACAGATACGGATGATCCTTTATTTAATATTTCAACTAGGTAGGTTAACAATGTAAACTAAATAATTGGCTAAGCTATTTAAAACTAATTTTCTTTGTTGATTAACTATTGCTATAAATGTCATAAAACCTTTATAAATTATTTTGTTCCATCTTTGCAGGCAATATGTAACATTAATTCTGAAAATCCTCCGTCAGCAATTAAAACTCAACAACTATTTCCTGGCAAAATCCTACATTTAAGAATTTTTAAGTAGCTTTGTACTTTATTAGAGTCTCTCCTGAAGCAATGAATAAACTCATAGTCACTCATCACATTTGCTTCATTACTAATGGATAAACCAGCTGCTTCTGATGATCCCATTCCATTCAATGAATTGCTAATGATTCCCATTGACTGCATCTGTATTGAAAACAGAATATGTATGAATGTAACCTGTCAATTGATATAAAGGTTCATAGAATCCAAATGCTAGTGTTGAAGCTAACAAGATCAGGGTTTATATAAAACACTCACTAATGAAATCATTAGCTAATGTAGACTGCTCACCTCTAGGGTTTTTAATGCAAGTACTGAAAATATATGTGCAAAGTGCTCTAGAGAAAGTCTAGTATCACAGTTACTGCTACCAGGGCCTACACAAGATTCTTACTAGCCTGAAGTAGTCTCATAGAATTTTAAGAAATTCCACCTGTGGAAGCAGAACTTTGGCAATACTATCAAGAACATAACACCCCTTGAACATGGAGTAAGTAAAATCCCTTCTTCAATATGGCTGCCCCATCTCAAGACAGGACAGTCAATCCGTTTTCTTCAGACTTGTAGCCTTAGTTAACAAGCTTAATCTAGTAAAATGCCTAGGCTTCTAGCAGAGCTTTAAAATGGATATATAAGCATAGAAGGGTGGAAGCCAGAAAGAGGCTTAGGTGTTGTGACACATGGGCTGTGTCTAGACTGGCAAGTTTTTCCGCAAAAGCACCTGCTTTTGTGGAAAAACTTGCCAGCTGTCTACATTGGCCGCTTGAATTTCTGCAAGAACACTGACGATCTCATGTAAGAAATCAGTGCTTCTTGTGGAAATACGATGCTGCTCCTGTTCGGGCAAAAGTCCTTTTGCGCAAAGCTTTTGCACAAAAGGGCCAGTGTAGGCAGCTCAGATTTGTTTTGTGCAAAAAAGTCCCGATCGCAAAAATGGCGATCGGGGCTTTTTTTGTGCAAAAGCACGTCTAGATTGGCACAGACGCTTTTCCACAAAAGCACTTTTTGTGGAAAAGCGTCCGTGCCAATCTAGACACTCTTTTCCACAAATGCTTTTAACGGAAAACTTTTCCGTTAAAAGCATTTGCGGAAAATCATGCCAGTCTAGACGTAGCCTCAGTGTTGTAATGCCTAACTTTTAGGGCCTACCAAATCACAAGAACAACTCTGTGATCCACAAAGCTAAGTTAGGCACCCTATTCAATGAATGGGGAGAGAAATCCATCTAAGAATGAGATCCAAAAAAGCCAGCATGCTCGGCAGGGAGACGCCCAAGTTAGCCAATGGGAGATGCTGACATTCTAAGCCCTGCCCCTTTTTTAAGAGATAGACCCCTCTGTCAAGTTTGCAGGGAGAAGCCTCGCTCTGCTAAATGTCCATGAACTGGAACCCTTCCCCTAGCTTGGGCACCTGTGTAGTTTTTTTGTAACACAGCAGAATTTGGCTCCAGGTTCGTTTGGTATCTCAGTATAACAGATACTAGAAAAAAATTGGTTGAAAATCTTGCCTTCTCTGTTACTTTCTCCATTCCAGTCTTCAGTTCATGTACCATATTGCTGATTTGCTTTGCTTTGCTCAGGCTGTCACTAGATAATTCTTGATGATGACCAATATACTGGTCAAAATGGGAAAGGGGTTCCTTCCAGGCTTGCAAAAGTCTCAGTATCAAGTGAGTTAGTTCTTCTCTCTTAAAGACATAATACAGAAGACTTCCTATTAGCATGCATCAAAGCACCTGAATAGTAATGTTCTCACTGGGTACAGTATACTTATCCGATAATGACACTTACAAATTTGGGTATACTTAAAATCTCCATGTATACCATTATTAACTAAGTTTCCTGTGTTTAGAAAATAACAGTTTCATGGGCTTCTTTAGTTGTACTTTTGTATGATAAAAAAACAGAATGACTTTACACATGCAACTGTCTTCCAAATTGCTTAGAATCTCATTCTGTAATGTCTTAAAATGACGCAGCATAGTGGAACGTTCTTAAAGAGCGCTAAATTGAAATTAAATGTTGAACTGCTGAGTTGTTAAATGGAAAAAGTGTTGAGGTAAAATGTTCAGAAGTGCGTAAGGCCCAGATCCACAAAAGGACTTAGGCATTGCAATGCCAAGCATTGCTGCTCTTATCTTTTAGGTGCCTAGAAAAATCACAGGAGCAACACTAAGATCCACAAAGCCTGAGTTATATGCCTAACTCCCTACACAATAAATAGGGCTGCTCTACCCTGGGAACTTACATCAGCTACATCACTCAGGCCTCCATTGCATGGGAATGTCAAAGTAAAATGCCTAAGTTAGTCCCATCAACTTTCCTTACTTCTCCTGAGGAGCAGGAGTGCCAACTGGGGCACTCTTTGGCTACGGCTACACTGTAGCTTTCTTCTGGAAAAGCTTATGCAAATGAAGTGCAGCGTGGAATATCGCCGTGCTTCATTTGCATAATTAATTAGCAGTCGCTTTTGCACAAAAAAGAACTGTGTAGATGGCTCCTGTTTGCGCAAAAACCCTCCCTTGCACAAGAGCCGTTCTTCCTGAAAAAATGAGGAAGGACAGCTCTTGCGCAAGAGGAGGTTTTTGCGCAAAAAGGGACCATCTACTCAGCTCCTTTTTGCGCAAAAGTGGCTGCTCATTAATTATGCAAATGAAGCACAGCAATATTCCACACCATGCTTCATTTGCATAAACTCTTCTGGAAGAAGGCTACAGTGTAGCCATAGCCTTTGAGTTAGATCTAGCTGGTCTATTCTAGACCCACTAAATCAAACCCTGGAAGATGTGTAGACAGCACCAGGCCAATGGAAGAATTCTTCCATCAGCTTAGCTACTGCCTCTTGGGGAGGCAGATTGCCTTCATCAAAGGGAGAACCACTCCATTGGCATAGGCAGGGTCAACAATGGAAGGGTACTGAAACAACTTCTATAGTGGGAGTGCTGAGAGCTATTTAATGAAATTGTAAACCACGTAAGTAATGGAAACCACTTCAAGTCAACACCATAGTTCAAGCTACAATGAGCACTAGAGAGGTATAGCTACAGTTGTTTCTCTCTTGAGATATAACATAGACCACAATAGTTAGCCAATAGAGAGTCTAATGGGAGCGGTGTGGAATGAATCTAGCCCCTCTTCAGAAGGAAGGTGCCTATCTGTGCTTAGCAATTACAAAGGAAAACCCCTCTCCTGGAATCAAGGAGCCTAGATGTCTATGGGTACGTTTAACTGCACGGCTATTTTAGGATACCAAAGATATCCCGAAATAGCTACCCTGCATTGTCACAAGCCACCTGTTATTTCAAACTATTTTTCAAAATAATGGGTGTGCTATTTTTGCATGCTGGTAAATTCATTCCACGAGGGTTAAGGGATATCTCGAAATAGCACATTATTTTGGAATTTGGTGTTGTGTAGACACACTCTGGCTGTGTCTACATTGGCACCCCTTTCGGAAAAGGGATGCTAATGTAGCACGTTGGAATAGGCAAATCCGCGGGGGATTTAAATATCCCCCGCGGCATTTGCATTAACATGGCTGCCGCTTTTTTCCGGCTTGGGGAAAAGCCGGAGAAAAGCGCCAGTCTAGACGTTATTCTCCGGAAAATAAAGCCTTTTCCGGAGGATAACGTCTAGACTGGCGCTTTTCTCCCGCTTTTTCCCAAACCGGAAAAAAGCAGAAGCCCCGTTTA